CAGTAGGCGAGCAGAGGAAGGGCAGGGGAGTGCGCCACTGGGCGAATCCGTACCTGGAGCACGTAGGCAGACGGGCTCAGCGGGAAGCTCGTGCCACTGATAGTGAAGGAGATGGTCGGCATGCTGCTAATGCTGCTGCAGCTCACCTCGTACTATGGAAAGAGAAAGCAAGAGCAGATCGATTCTCTATACACAGTCACTGCAGACTGCTACTCCCAGGGGGCTCGCCTACCCCCTCCTCCACACGCAGCCACCTTCCCTCGGCCCACGAAAGCTCTTTACGCCAGTCCCATGGGAAAGGAAAGAAGTTAAATGCTTTATTCCAATCAAAATTGGAGAAAGTGGAGAAGGTCCAGAAAAGAGCAACAACAATGATGAAAGGTCTAGAGAACATGAGCTATGAGGGAAGACTGAAAGAATTGGGCTTGTTTAGTTCAGAAAACAGAAGATTCAGAGGGGACATGATAGCGGTTTTCAGATATCTAAAACGGTGTCACAAGGAGGAGGAAGAAATATTATTCTCCTTATCCTCTTAGGATAGGACAAGAAGTAATGGGCTTAAACTGCAGCAAGAGAGGTTTAGGCTGGACATTAGGAAAAACGTCTTAGCTGTCAGGGTGGTTAAACACTGGAATAAACTGCCTACGGGGGTTGTAGAATCTCCTCACAGGAGATATGTAAGAGCAGTTTAGACAGACATCTATCTGGGATGATCTAGACAGAACTTGGTCCTGCTGTGAGGACAGGGAACTGGACTCTGACTTCTCGAGGCACTCCCCTGCCCGTAGGCCCTAATTGGCCTGGGGGGCGGGGGAGCAACAGGGCCGCTGCAGGCTGGATCAACCCACTTGGTGGGCCGGATTCAGACTACGGAGGCCTTTTTGCCCACCCTGATCTGGATGGTCATCTGGAAAAGGTTGGAAACCGCCGGTCTAGATGATCCTGGGTCCTGCCAAGAGGGCAGGGGACTAGACTTGGTGACCTCTCCAGGTCCCTTCCAGTTCTAGCGTGCTGTGATTCTATGATTCTCACACCTCTCCAGGTCCCTTCCAGTTCTAGGAGTTTAGGATTCTCACACCCTGAACGAGCAGGGACTATTAGGCCTACCTTACTGATGAGCCAACAGGCACAAAAAAAGTTAAATGAGTCACCCAAGACCAAGCAGAGTGAGTAGCAGATCCAAGAATCAAACCCAAGAGTCTGGATACCCAGTCACCCGCTTTAACCACTAGCCTGCACTCTCGCTGAACTGCTTCATGTCACCAGAACTTGCTTAGCGGAAAGTTTCTTCTCTTTAGGCTCCCCCCCATCCCGTGGCCAGCTGTTCTCCTCACCTCACCATAGCTGTTCTGCTGAGCACCTATGTCCTGCATCAGCTGAGAGAAGATGGCTTGTGGGGCAGTGAGCAGGGACGTTCCGGTGTCCACAATCCCCTGGCAGCCGCTGCTGCACCAGCCGGTGGACTGTCCATTAACCGAGAACCTAGGGGAACCAAACACAGGACACTGCAGCAGCAACAAACCCATCTCTGCTGCATGATGAACCAAGAACACAGTGGGATGGGGGAGGAAAGAGTCCTGCCAGAGCCATGTTCTCTGTTCTCATGGTATCTCTGGAACCAGGCTCGATGCGAGGGAGGGAACCAGGCTCCAGTGGTTTAAAAGGGCTCAGAGCTTCCGCCGCTGCAACCGCAGCAGGAGCCAGAGCTCCGGGCCCTTTTAAATCGTTACTGGAGTCCAGGCAGCACAGGAGGGCTAGCTGGCAGGGCATGGCCCCCAGCCTGTCCCTTCTGCCCGAGGCCCTGCGCCTCCTGATTCCCTGTCTGGAACTTTTTGCTTTTTCAATTGTGAGAGGGAGGGGAATATAAAGGTCCCATGAAAACTCAGGGGAGAGTCGGGAGTAGAA